ATTCTTTTTACATTTTTTTAAATTAGCGAATTTTAGCACCTTATACTGATTTTCACTACAGACACAGTCCAGATACAGCCGAAGGGCAGCTCAAGTAAGTGTTATCGATTCCTAATAATTTATGAGGTGTTATATGTGTTAATCTTGAAGCATTTCTAGAAAAAATAATCTTTACTATATCCCCATCTATTTTCCTATTATCCCTGTTCTCAGTACTTTACATATAACTGAGTGGTGGGGACATGCCTGTAATCCTAGCACTCAGTGTGTATAGAACTGGAGAAATTGTAAGTTTAGTTAAATTTTCTATTGTATGGAATTAAATTTTTCTCACAATTAACTATAGTTTAAAAATTTTAGAAAAAGCTTTGAGAAATTGTAAGATTAATTTCTTATTTCAATGTATGTATTGAATATATTTCAATATGTGTAATATACTTTAGTAGAGACTTAGGTCTTTGTTTTCCTTTGTATTTATTTTTAGCATAATTTCATTGAGAGATTGAAGAATGAAGTAATCACAGGTAGTAGATTGAAGAGTTGCCTTAACACATTGTGTCAGCAGAATGATATAATATGTAAAATTTGTTTTGTTTTGTTTTTGGTGGTACTAGGAATTAAATCCATGGCCTTTACATTGAGGTACATCCCCATCCCTTTATTTATTTAGTTTTTTATATTTTGAGGAAGGATCCTGCTAAGTTACCCAGACTGGGCTCAAATTTGTGATCCTCCTGCCTTGTCCCTCAGAGCACTGGGATTGTTGTTTTTCATTGTTTTTCTGAATTAAAAATAATGCTTTTGCTATTTTCACATCCAACCCTGTGCATTCATTGTCACACTCTAACATATCGTGACCTAAGTTAAGAAATCAAAACAAATGTTTAAGACTTCTTACTGGATGAGGTGGCACATAGCTATAATCACCACTACTCAGGAAGCAGAGGCAGGAGGATGTCAAGTTCAAGCCCAGACTGCACAAATTAATGAGACCTTGTCTTTACATAAAAAGGGCTGGGGGATGTAGTTCAGTGGTAGAGTTCCCTGGGTTATATCCTTAGTATTGGGCAGGGGAAAATCCCTAGGCGCTTTTCAGGTTTATTCCTGCTAACTTCAGTTATGAATTAGAATTCTTAAGCCTCTTTTTTGACTTTGTGTAAGATTTGGATGTTTTCTTTTTTGGTAGAGAACATAGAATTTATCTATTGCTGTGCAGCAAATTGCTATAAGCATGTTTCACTGCAGCATCTCAGTTTGGTAGGTCAGGTCTGGCTCAGCAAAGGCTCAGGTGAAGAATCCATTTCCAAGTTCATTCAGATTGCTGGCACAATTCAGTTCCTTTCCATTTAATAATTCAGGCCTCTCTTCCCTTGATACCACCTGGTGACTGTTGTCACCTGTTCCTTGACTCATGGGCCCTTCATCTTGACAGGCAGCAGCAGTGTCTGAAATCCTTCTAGCATTCTGATTCTCTCCACGCTCTCTTCTGCTACCAGCTGAAGAAAGCTTTCCAATTAGATCAAGCCTGCCAGACAATTTCCCTATGTTGTGCTCTACTAGGTGATATAACCTAAACATAATTACAGCCATGGCAATGATAGCTCGTATTTACAGCATCTGGAGATCAGGGCATGGAATCCTGGAGCAAGGCTCCTTTCAGCATACCACGATGAACAAGAGGTGAACCTAGGTATTTATTAGAGAGGTAGAGGACAGTCCATCAAAATTCTTTCTTTCCTATTTGATTTTCTAGTTTACTTTCATTATTTTTCTAGAGTATGAACCAATATAGAGCAAGGCAAGTAAAGGCACATTATAAACAAGGAAGTAGGTGATTGGAAAAATGTTGCTTATTTATCATAATAGGTTAGAGATGTTTAACCATGCAGTCAATATAAGTATGTTATCAGTATTTTTAAGAGAAGGAACACTGAAGAGTTAGTCACACAGGTACCTGATCATACTCCCCATTATAGTTTCTGTTGCATTCTTTTTTTGACTGATGCTACACAGCTTACTTTGGTTTTTGTCTACTCTTTCCCACACCCTGACCCTTGTTCCTTGAATTTCTACATGTTATTAAGAATTTGGGAAAGAAAAGAAACTATGGCAGAGGGAAAAAAATTAACAGTTAATTAGGGTAAATCTGGTGGTTAGAAGATTATAAATTATTAGTTATCAGATTTTACTATAAAGCATTGAAATTGATCAACAATGGAGAATGTTTAACAAATATAAATAGTTCTGTTGCTTAATGGTCATAATATTTTACAGAAAGAACAAGTGACACAGTTTGATACATAATTTTCAAGGAAGAAAGTAGCTGGTAATTTTAATAGTATCTATTTAGTAACATTTCACTGCCTCTACCTTATTGAACTTGCTTATTGGAAATGTTCAAATACATTTGAGGAAAAGATTTTGAAGAGGATGCAGATGGTAATTTTCTTTGTTAAGGGGCAGCCTTGCAACACAGGTACTTATTAAGCAGACTGTTCTTCCCTGATGATTAATTAGAATTCATCTAAGAATAGTTTTCAGAAAGAGTAGGGAACACAGAACTGAATAGAAAAGCAGAATTTATAACTTATTTGAAACTGTTGTGAATCTTTTTTTTAAGTTATACAAAATTGCACCACTTTAATTAAGGCTTTTAGTTCACATTTGGTCACCTCCAAGTAGTTGTAACATTAGGTTGGTCAATTTAAATACTGTGGCTCCCTCTTGGATAGACACAGTCTTTACACCCAAATGTTAATGCATACAAAGCAACAAGGCATTGTTAAATAAAGCACCAATAGTTACTGCAAATGAGGCCTTGTGACCAATTACACATGATTAAAATTACTTCCCACATTCACATCTTAAATTGAGGTCCATTTTATATTTGGGTAATTGACTTTGGAGTACATCTGATTTCTGTTAACATTTTTATTTCATGTGTAAATATTTAAACATTAATTATAGCTCTATTTCTGATATAGTAGCAGCAATAACTCACTTTATTCTAATTTTTTTGTCTTTTATAACCCTCCCACTCCCAACAGAGAAGACAGAGAAGCACGGTTTCTAGCCAGCAAAATGGGAATCATAGCAACATTCCGGTCATGGGCAGGTATGCTACTCCATGTTGCTTAATAACATACAAGAGGAAAAACTTGAGTGTTTTTCAAGTATACTATTGAAGCATCTAATTTGAATATTAATCTGCTCTTTATGTGTTATTTTTAGAACCAAAGGAATTTATACAAAATTATAATAATGTACTAAAGAAAATTTGTAATAGTATATAGGAAACAGCCGGGACTGAATTCAGTATAGACATACTTATTAACTATTTATAAGTCACTGTACTAATGATTACCATGGCCATTCAAGAAAAATGAAGCATGGTCTATACTTCCCCTCTCAAAAACAAAATACAAAATAAAAAATAGAAGCAAAACTTGTGTGTTAATTGTATGTGTAGCTAAAGTTTGTTACTTAAGAATAAGGTAGTAATGCCATGACATTAGTAGTCCCTATTCAGAATAGGGATTATACACATTTTCTCTTTCTGTGGAATAAAGGTCAAAAATTTATTTATTTATTTATTTAGTACCAGGGATCAAACTCGGGTCCTTGCGCTTGCGCAGCAGGCGGCGAAACCACTGAGCTAAATCCCCGGCCCGAAAGTATATACTTTTTAAAAAATCCTCAATTTACATTATTTTACTAAGTACATTTTTGCATTTGTGTATCCAAACTTTTGAGTGAGTGAAGAGAAACTTGTCTTGGGCCACATGTAAAATATATAATTAATGTATATAAGTAGCAGAACCTCCTTCTTAAAAATATTTTTTATTATGACATCAAAAAAAAAAAAAAAAGGCAAGCTGCCTATGAGCCACAGGTTGCATGGAGGTTGGATCAGAATTATCACATACTGTAATTCTTAAAAGTTTACTTGTCAAAATATACTAAATTGTCCATTGAAGACAACATGCACAGTAAGCTTAAATCAAGGAATTTTTTTGTATGTAGGCATGAAATTATGCAAGGCATAAAAGACTTATTTTTCCCTAATGTCTTTATAATAATCACTTTAGGAAACTTGTCTTAAATGTTATAATTATGGTCTTTTTAGATTTTGAGTTTTGTTTTGTTTTATTTTATTCTGTTTTGTTTGTGAGATGGGGGTCTTGATATGTTGGTCAGGCTGGCCTTGAACTCCTGGGCTGAAGCAGTCTTCCTGCCTCAGTCTCCCCAGCAGCTGGAATTATAGCCATGTTCCACTGTGCCTAGCTTAAGAACTAGTTTTAGAAATACTTCAGATTATAAAATTGACATTATCCTATGCCATTAACTAACAAATGTAATCACAATATTTTCCTTAATAAGTGATTTAAAATTCATTATCTGTGGGAGTCCTAAAGGAATAAATTGTCATTACTTATATTTTATAGTGTGTTTAGTTCTAATTTTCTCCTTTATCAGGTAGAAAAACTATAATATTAAAATGGGAGAAATAGGTTCTTTTTTATTCCTGTGTATTGTATAGCAGATTAACAGGCCCCTTAAGGGAAAAAGCCTCAAAGATTAAGTAGATTAAGTACACTACTGTTTTTGGTTACATCATCTTACTTAAAATGTGATTAAAAATTTTCCCTAACTAGATCCTCCCAGTGGTACAGAGAGTGAATAGATAGACATTAGATAGTACAGACCATGTTTTAATATTTCACTGTATCATCTTGCTACATTTTTAACCTTGGGCAAGACACTTAGTTTTCCTTAGAGCTAGTTTTTTCATAGGTAAAACAAAGATTTTTGGTTTTCAGCCTTAAAAACTTGTTGTGAAGATTAAATGCTATGAATAATGATTACAGTAGCAGTAAAAGTTGCAGATAGCGTTCAGTAATTTAGTACTTTACCTTTTGTACTTTAATCTACATGTTTTAAATTAGTACCTGGAACATAATAAATATTCAGTAAGTACTGGTTGCGTTTGATGCTGTTTATAATTATCTTCTACTTTTTCATCTTCATCATAAAGTCTGAGATTAAGAAGATAGTCCTTATTTTATTCATTATAATTTATCAGTGTTACATTCCAAATGGATACTTTGATTTTCTTTTCTGTAAAGAAACTATTTGCAGTGCTGTTGTCTCTCTGGATAGCCCCTAATTTTCCTTTTGTTAAAAATGCTTGTGTGAATTAAATTGTTTAAAAATTCTTTTTGTTTACCCTGTTATCTGTTTCTGATGATTTATAGATCTTTTTCGTGGAGCCACTTGCTATTCATTATATAGTTGGTCACTGAAAATCCAGGTGGGCTTTTGCCAGAATTAGAAAAATCAGAAGAGCTTAGGGCCATTATGTGGTACTAAAATGACAAAGCTAGATATTTTATAGCTAATTTCCTGTTAATGACATTTACCAAATTCTTAGGTTTCCAAATGGATAGCTAAAACTCTCAGTTCAGAATTTACAAAATATATATATTTTTTAAATCTCAATTTGTTACTACTAAGAAGAAGATTTCTAGGGTCTGTTGAAATCACTAGAGGGACACAGGAACACAGGAAAATGATAGGTGTATTGAATCTTATCAAAATTGCAGTGTAGCCTCAGTTTAACTCTATTGTTCATTAAGATAAGGCTATCAGCCACTTTACTTGTCTGGGAGAGGAAAGGATAAACTATCTCTGATGGAAGATAAAATCACTTAGAAATCACTTTAATAAAATATACAGTGTCTGATACTCAGTCAGAGATTTCTTGTTATGCAGAAAGACCATGACCATCTGTCTGAAAACCCAAAAGAAACATTCCATACAAACATATTTACTGGTAATCCAGATAGGGGAAAAAACAAAACAAAACCCCTTCAAAACCATCCATGGTTAATTTACAGAAAAGGAAACAATGGGTGACACAAAAGAATTTTACAGTGTAATTAGATATGCAAAAAGAATCAAATGGAAATTCTTGTTCTGAGAAATATAATGCCTAGAATTCAAAAATTAGTGAAAGTAAAAGTTCAGTTGGGACAAGGATATTGATAGTAAACTGAAAGAAAGGTTAATAAAAATATATATAGTAAAGCACAGAGAGAAGAAAAGAAATAGGACAAACAATTAAAAATCTTGAGAACAGCTCAAGAAAAAAAAAAGATACTTTCAAAGGAACAAGTTTGACAGTTGATCTGCCAACAGAAATAATGGAAAGTAGCAATATTTGAGTTGACAGAAAAAAAGCTGAAAGCCAAACCTGGAGAAAATAGCATTTTTGTTCTGGTGTATATATTGTTTTCAATATGTTATACCCAATTTAAAAGTTTAAAAATAGAATTTATGCTTTTAAAAAGCTTTTTAATAATAAAAACTTATTCTTTTTACATTTTTTT